ATTTCATTAGCAATTGCATCGAGAAGATGCTAAAATTACAAGTTGTAGCAAAAAAATTAGCTCCTGAAAACAAAAGAACTATTTGCCCTTTAACATTGAATAGTACTAAAAAGAGAAGAATGAGATAAGGAACTTCATTCCAAGTCATAATACCTAAATAGAAACAAACTTCCAAAACAACTTTACTTAATTAACATCACTAACACGTTTTGTTATAATAATACCGAATTCAGAACATCCAAGTATGCTATAGAAATATCAAATAACCTAGTGAACATTAATTATCATTTATAAGGATAGGACACAAACTCCCTGAAATGACATGATATATGAAGAAAACAACAAAGCAAGATTTACCTTAAGTTTTGCATTAAATATGGCAGAAATAAGATGTTAGTGAAGTCTCACCTGCCGCAGTGGGCTGTCTTTGGGTAAAAAGGCTCCTATTGTTTTCCCATAAATTTCACAGGTGGAAAAGTGAATAAGACGCTTTCCATTTTCTGAGCAGTACTTCACCTATATTAATCAATTCACATAAAGTTCACACAGTAAATTCAAGAGAAAAGTAATATTCAACCGTCAAAGTATTAACCACAAGAATCAAAACTATCTATCTCAACTAGATTCATTTCCAGTAACAACCATCCGCTTCACTAAATATGAGCAATGAAAGGCTGCATGAAGTTAAAAGTGAGAGATGCATACCACTGGAAGAGCATCAATGAAGTTGCTGTAAATAGTATCAAGTGGACGAGTGTTGTAATCAGCTGGAGTGCAGATCGCAGCAAGATTGATGGTCTACATCACAAGAAAAGACAGAAGTCAGCAACAGTCAATGATTTGACCGGATCAGCATTTAAAAATTCAAGGAAAATGGGTCTAAAGATGTGTCGGTGCATAAAGTAGTCCATGATTACAGCAAGATCACACTAAAATGATAAAATAATCCAAACATACAGGATTAAACAATACATTCAAGGACATGTTATTCATGGACACAAAAGCTTTAGAGGCCCAAAATAGCCACATGAAAAAGCCTCTGGAAAATCTCTTTCATTTTGAGAATCTGGGAAAATTGCCTTACGCAACACGACAATGATGAAACTCAGATCCAATAAGATCTCAAATTCACTAAGTAGATCCCAATAAATGAATATCCAATACTTATTTCAGAATGTTATGCATTAAGCTAGCTATGAACGCTACACATAATAGTAAGAACAAAATTAACGAACAGAATTTCGTGATAACACGATTCCCTATTCACAACGCATAGATCCATTTTTCATGCAAATGAGAAGCAAACAAAATGCAGAAAACAAGAAGGAAAATAAAAATGCGCGGGGAAAAAAATAACAATAAGAAAGAGCGAAATGAAATTACCAGATCTGCCATCTTGATAAGGCCTTCAAGACGAGAATCGTTCTTAATGTTGATACGGTGGAACTCAATACGATCAGCCCAGGCGAGAGTAGCCGGTTCGAGGAGATGCTTGATCTTGTCATTGCTAACATCGACGGCGAGCACCTTGTGCGGCGTCTCCGACATCAATTTCTCACATAGATGCGAGCCAATAAAACCTCCGGCACCAATCATACATATTGTAATCGGCTTAATCGTATTTCCGTCCAGATCTACCCTTCCTGCCATTTCCGAAATTCTCTAGAACTGCTACTTCTACGTTAACTTTCACTCTAAAAGATAGAAATTCGTTGCTTCTCTGAAGGGAAAATGGAAAAAATGACGGTGAAGAAGAGGAAATAATTTGAGGGGATGTATTTAAAGGAAGTAAAAGGAGGGAGTGTGTGGCTGCATTCATTGCTTGCCTGCCTATGTACGCGTTTAATAAAATACTGCACACGGAAAATGTTACTAGCCACTGGATTTTCTCTGCTTTTCTTCATCTCTCAACAATTCGTTATAACTTGCTATTGCTAGTAAGATATTTTTCCTCTTCACCTTCCAAATATTTATTCACCCTTATAAAAGTAAAAATTGATTTTCTATCGATAACCGGATAAGAAATAACTTATTCACGTAAATATATTATGACTTATTATATCTTTTTTATATATTATTTATAAATATATAAATTTCATTATATAAATATATTTAAGCATAATTTTTCATCGAATTTAAACGATTTAACTCTTAAAAAATAAAAATCATCACATAAATTAGGACAGAGGAAAAACATAAATACATTTTTAAAAAATAGTTAGTCATTATTATTATTGACTTATTAGACAAGTGAATCTTTATAAGACTATATATATTTGAATGTTTGAAATAACATGCGATCACAAATTTATTTATAAAAAGAAAATATGTAAGATTTGTGATTTATTAATATGATATATTAGAATATTTTAACAACTTATTTATAAGCATGATGTGTTCATCTACTAATATTCCTGTTTGCATATAAATTGGAAAAGTTCTGATAATTTTCATGAGAAAATATTTTACTTTTGAAAATAAAATTATACGTCTAAATAAAAATTTAATTAATATCAATTGAGCAAGACACCATAAAAAAGCTTCCAACTGTGTCGTGTGATTGAGCAGCAGTCAACCAATGAGCTGTCCACTCTTCATGCTAACCTGTCCTACACGCAACCAATGAGCAGTATTTTACACTAATTTTAGTATGAACCATGGAGTACTGGTTTTATTTTACAGGAGTAATCAGAGATTATTTTTTTATAATCTCTACGCGTTTGATCATAATTTTTTTTTAAATTATTATTATTTTATTTGTAATTTATAATGTTAAAACTAAAGATTAAGTTATAGGTTTCCCAAGTTCATTATCTATTAAAGCTATCAAAATTGAATTTACAGATATAAATACACACGTGAATTCTGAACTTAACACTAATATCTAGTTTTAATATCTAAATTAATGATTTTTTCTACTTATGCTTCATCTCTAATAAATATGTGCTTATAATTAAAAAAAAACTTAATTGACAATTAGGTAAAAGGAGTATGATTCATATGTAAAAGAAGTGGTAAATTGACGAATGAGATGTAAGATAGTAGTAAAAAAAATAATTAATATATTTTGAGACCAATAAATTATGATAGGATCTTAAATTTGAACTCATAAATCATTAATTTACTTTTAAATATAGTGTGAAAGTACAAAATATATTACTAAGGACTAAACACTTCCCTATCCTTAAAAATAGTCTTAAAATCATTAGTTTAAATTATGTATACTCTAATCTATTTAACTTTTAATACCATCAATAATAATCCTTCTCCTTGGTTCTTCATTTTTGGGCCATAGGGATTAGGAGGTTGAATCAAAAACTTAGAATTAAGCAGAAACTTATCACAAGCAAAACCATTTATCATTCAAATTAAAGTTGCTCTTACTAGTTTTCATCACGAATACTTAAAATAATTTTTTGACAGCAATTTAAAATAAAATGTGATAGATAGAGAGTATGGGATCATCAAAGATGAGGTGTACTGGATGAGGCGACTTCACCTTTAATTAGAGATCTAGGTTTGTATCTTGGGTATGAAAAGATCTTTACCCTAATGAGCCTTTAAGCGGAGCAAATCCAAGTGATCGGCTCCATTATGGATTGAAAAGCAAAAAAGAAAAAGAAAACAAAAAGGAGTATGGGGCCATTTTGGCTATTGGCCAATAGTTTAATTGCAGCATTGGCCAATATTTAAAAAGTGGCCATATTAAATAGAACTATTTGGCGAAGTTAGCTGATCCAGTACTCCGACAAGGCTAGTACTTGGGCCGATCTACTAAGCCCAGTTAACCGTCCGAAGCCTAGTCCCCTTCCTTTTCTAGGGCCTTTCCGATTTGGATCCTTCGCAAACAGATCAGATCAACTATCAATGAATATGGTGCAGTGAATATAACTGTTTCTTCTTTAATTAGAGTTATCGAATTTGAGCCGCAAAATCCTCTAGCGAGAGGTTTACCTACCTCTGCATTACAGTCTTCATCTTATAATTTATGTGTAAACCAAACGACCCCTAAATTATATAAAAGGGAATTAGCTATTCTACCTCTATTTTTTTATTTTATTTTTCTGCTTGTTTCCCACTAGACTATTTTAGATATCTGTGTTTTCTAGTAAGGTGTGCTATTTTCCCGATAATTCGGGTTCTACTCTTGGAATTATCTATTTATCTCGCAAATAGAGAAGTGTTGACGATTGAGTTTTGAGATATGTCATCTTTTGCATGTAATGCACAAGGCAAGGAGACACGTCTTTGTAGACAACCCTCGATTTCATCACACAACAAAACGTTAAAGCTTGCCAAAAGACAAAAGACTCCATTCTCATACTCATTATATTTTTACCAATAGTTCGACTGGACACTAAATTTAAAGGAAAAAGGGTTTGAAAAATATTTTAATTTTGGTCGAAATTGATTTTATGATACCAAATTTTATGGAGGACTTTTTACCACTGCACTATTTAATATCGTATTTTAAATATATATATGTGCCTACGTGGACACTTTACTATTTATAATAATGCAATATTTATGATGTCTACGTGAGCACATATATACCTTTAAAATACATTATTAAATACTGCAGAGGGGTAAAAGGTCTTTTTCAAAGTTCGATATCGTAACAACAATTTTGATCAAAGTTCAGATATATTTCAGATTTTTTTCCAAATTTAAATATTACGACCGTCCACTTTTAATTGTTATAACTTCTATTTTTAAAGTCAAATTATAAAAACTTTGACTAATATTTTACGATATATTTTTTCATCATGATGTGCAAAAAATTGCAATTTATAATACTTTTCGTATAGTTTTTGAATATGTTAATTTTTTATTTAAAATATCGAATTAATGTAATTTAATTTAATTTTTAAAAATTAATTAAATTAACTTTTGAGTAACGCAACGTAACAAATAAAAGTAATTTAACTTTCTGGTCACCTTTGACTCCATCTATTGCCACGTGTTCCTAGCGCTTACTACTAACTTATCACCTTGATCACTTCTCTTGATCCTTCTTACCCTTACGGAGTTTCATTATTTTCCAAAATTTTGTTTGTTACTCTGCTCTTCTCAATTCTGCATTCTGAATTGATGGGGTTCTTCCATTTCTTGAAAACACAGCTTACTACAGTTTTTCAGGTCAATCTGAGTGTTATTTCTAATTATATTGATGGTAAAGTTAGAATCTTTAATTCAATTCTTCAATTTTGTAAGCTCTGTTTTCTTGAACTAGTAAAGTGTTCTTCAGATGAATCATTTGACAAGAAACAAGAAAATGCCGTGTATGTTTATGAAAATCCAAAACACAAGAAAACTAGCAGGGACGCTAATGAATGGAGGTGTATAGATAACTGTTTTTGGATAATTGGATACTTGTGTATAACTTGGTGGCTACTTTTATTTCTATGCAATTTTTTGCCTGCTATTTTGCCAGGTTTTAAATTGGCTGAATTACCTGGGAGTAGGCTAAAAAATGAAGGGTTGAATGCTCATCACCCTGTTGTTTTGGTGCCTGGAATTGTAACTGGTGGTCTTGAACTTTGGGAAGGCAAGCCTTGTTCTGAAGGATTATTTCGTAAGAGACTTTGGGGTGGTAGCTTTGCTGAAATATTCAAGAGGTTTGTCTTTGTAGACCCCGTTAATTTCATGTATGATCATTGAACTTTAACAGTAAAATTACACCGTCCCAATTTATGTGACACTTTTATTTTTTTGGAGACTTAAATTATGTAAAGTTTGACTTCCATTCTACTGAAACGAGAAAAAATTGCAATTTATGGTACTTTTCGTATAGAATTTTAAAATCTTAAGTTGATCTAATTCAATTTAGCTTCGAAAATTAATCAATTTGAATCTCGAGAAGCAAAGCATCCCACATAAGTTGGAAGGAGGGATGGAGTAACAATACTAGGCTCTTTGTGTCTGGTAATTGGAATGAGTACAATCTAAACCTGAGCATCCATTGGAGGCCAGGTCTGTGTCCAGCTTTCATAGCATATATTTAAGTTGGTTTGGTTAAAAAGCTCGTAGTTGGACTTCAGAATGACTAACTTTATTATATTAGTTCGTAGTTGGACTTTAGAATGATTAACTTTATCTATTAATATAATATTTAAGTTACAAAGTTATGTTGTGTCACGTTAAGTAATTGTATTTTACCAGCTATAACGATAAAGTTCAGTGATCATTCGTGAAATTAACCATTGCAGAATTGGAATTACCTTTGATTCAATCGGATAATGTAGAGTTTTAAATCTGAGTTGAAAATCTTTTCTGCAATTGAATTAGGCCATTATGTTGGTTGGAACACCTATCTTTGGATAATGAAACTGGGCTTGATCCACCGGGAATTCGAGTACGTGCAGTTACAGGACTAGTAGCAGCTGATTATTTTGCTCCTGGTTATTTTGTTTGGGCTAATCTTATTGAAAATTTGGCAAAGATTGGCTATGAACAGAAGAATATGTACATGGCTTCTTATGACTGGAGGCTATCCTTCCAAAATACAGAGGTATTAAATTATTTTCTTCATTTCTTCGTTTTTACTATTACTTGCTGTTTTCGTTGCTACTATAATCCTGTAACTGCAAGCAAGTTGGGGTCGGCCGTATGAATCCTAGGTCACTCCATTAGTTGCAAATATTTTTAATAGACATATCAATATTTTGAATGAAAGAAAAAATTGTTTCTTCGTACATTTAGTTGAAAAAGTCTCAGGAAATTCTAGAATTTGAAGTTTCTTGTGGTTGTTATCCTTCTTGAGGACATTGTAGAGATAATTCTGATACAGTTTTAAAATTTGGAAACAAGCAGATCAGGGACCAATCTCTGAGCAGGCTAAAGAGAAAAATTGAGCTTTTGTATGTTACAAATGGTAACAAGAAAGTGGTGGTAGTGCCTCACTCGATGGGCGTCAACTATTTTCTCCACTTCCTTAAATGGGTTGAAGCACCTCCCCCTGTTGGAGGGGCTGGTGGCCTTGGTTGGTGTGCCAAGCACATCAAAGCAATCATGAATATTGGTCCAGCATTTCTTGGAGTACCAAAGGCTGTTGCTAATATATTGTCTGCTGAGGGAAAAGATGTTGCGTTTATCAGGTTTGTAATATAATTTATCCATAATTATCCTCTCTTATGTATTTAGTTAATTTTTAATGGCAGCATCTACCTAGGGAAGTTCCTTTTTTTTTTTGTAAAGACGTCATTTTGATCTGCTGCGAAGTGTCATTTGCATGGTCTATTTTTGCGTTATAATCACAGAAATGAAATTTCAACCAAGACAAATTCCTTTACTCTCTTTGTTTTCTGCATATAGGTTGGTCTATCACTGGTTAGTTTGATTTTGAGATAGCACTTGTCATCTGTAGATTTCGGAGAAGTAATTCTGCATGCAGCACCTCCAATTTTTCATTTGAAGGAAATTCAATACTACATAGGTTTTACCTAACTGTTTGAGAGATTACGTTCTTCAGTAGTTAAAATTCTCGATTTATGTTTTCTGTCACAAAATTTCTTTTGAGTTTATAATTGAAGGCACCGGTGAAGCTGGAATTTGATTTTTTTCTACTAGCAAGTGAGGTACTCATCACATTTACTTTGCAGAGCCATGGCTCCTGGTCTGTTCGATTTGGAGACCTTTGGTTTTCAAACCTTTCAACATGTTATGAGGGTATTTCGAACATGGGACTCTGTCATTTCATTGCTACCGAAAGGAGGAGAGACAGTCTGGGGCGATCTGAATAGGTCCCCAGAAGAAGAAAATGTATGTCATTCAGCAAAGACACAATACCTGCATTCCTCTTCAAAGGAGAGCAATGGAAATGATACTGACACTCGGAGGAGTATCCAGGAAAAAGAACTGGCAAAATATGGAAGATTAGTATCATTTGGGAAGGTAGCATCTGAGATACCTTCGTCACAACTCTCTTTAATAGATCCAAAGGTAAAAGCTATGAGTTCTACCTTTTTATCTTATATTAATATTCGGAAAGAACACTCTTTGATCAGACATACCTCTTATTCCCTTTAAATGTGATTAACAATGGAATGAGTGGTTTTATAACAGGAAATCTTGTATGAAAACGCGCCCATTTCCAGCACATCATGTGAGGAGTTGATGACAGAATATGATGGGATGAGTCAGGAGAGCATCAAGCGAGCGACTGAAAATAAAGCCTACACGGCAAGAACTCTAATAGATCTTCTCAGGTTTGTAGCACCAAAGACGATGCAGCGTGCTGAGTCACACTTCTCCCATGGATTAGCAGATAACTTAGAAGACCCAAAATATAGTCATTATAAGTACTGGTCAAATCCACTTGAAACAATGTAAGTGTGAACAAGTAGTGAATTTACTATCCCCCTTTTTATTTTTCCATCAAATGCACCTCCGTGACTTCACTTAATCCTAGTGCAATAAGTCAATCATGCGCTAATATGATGAAGCATGCTTCATTTAGGTCCCTTGTGTTTCTTAGTATGTTAATAGTCAGCATCATTTTTCAGGTTGCCAGATGCTCCGGATATGGAGATCTTCTGTTCATATGGAGTGGGAATTCCCACCGAAAGATCATATGTCTACAAGATATCACCTTCTGATAGATGCAAGAGCATTCCTCTTCAAATTGACATCTCTGCAGATGGAAGCGACAATGATTGCTTGAGTGGTGGAGTATACTTTGTTGATGGCGATGAGAGTGTACCAGTCGTGAGTGCTGGCTTCATGTGTGCAAAAGGATGGCGAGGCAAGACACGCTTTAACCCCTCGGGCATTGCTACTTATATAAGAGAATACCAGCACAAGCCACCAGCTAGTCTGCTAGAAGGGAGAGGCACAGAGAGTGGTGCCCATGTTGACATTCTGGGGAACTTTGCCTTGATAGAAGATGTTCTACGAGTTGCTGCTGGTGCCTCAGGTACAGAGTTAGATGGTGATAGAGTTTATTCGGGTATCATGGAAATGTCAGAACAGATAAATATTCAGCTATGACATCAAAGATGTTTTGATACATGGATGAAGAACAAAGTAAAGGTCAGAGGAAAGAGTTCAAAAGATGTTGGGAGTAAATATGAGTACACTAGTGTTGTTTCTAGCACTGCGGAACACAACTCAGGAAAGGAACTTGAATGACTTGAGACACAGCCCCACAAAAGAATCACCGCAAGTCAAGTTGGTAAGTGGGGCACCGTTGGCATTGATTGTAAGTTTCTAACTCGAAGAGTAGCATTTCTGACTTATCTAATCTAATTCTCAATTTTCTATAGCCAAGTTAAGTAAAACTCTGGTCGCCTTAAATTGTTTAGGTCTGAGGGGCGTTGATCAGTGTCACTACTTGTGCAAATTTCTATTACGGATTACATTGACGATTGGCCTCAACTTAGTAACATTTGCATGGGCATCACTTGTGAAATTTAAAATTCTGTTTTGCTAAGAACTACAAAAGCAGAGAAGAAATTAGATGCTTGAATATCACTTCAACCGTTAACTGCTGAAGAAATACTTATACGATTGATGCAGAGTCTTGTTTTTATTTTTTCTACTAACCAGGTTTCATTTAAGAGAAATTACTTGAGTACCATCTCAGGTTCGAAATTCCAATGTGAGTGTGGCGTATCTCCTCTTACAGATGGCCAGATGGGAAAAAAAGATGTATGTTCTGTGAGAAAAAACCAGCTTAAAATCCCCACTACCAACAAGAAAATCGTCTCCTTATGTATCATCTTGGGGTCAAAATCACGTCATTGGCAAGCAATAAATAAAATCCAAAGACAGCTTATATCATAGAACAAAGCTTGCTCTTTCCATTGACCACCAAATCCAAAATTCTATAAAGGTATAAACAAACAAGTTAGAAATTATTTCCTTCTCATAGAAGATCAGAAAAACAAGTTTTAGTTTGTCCATGATAAATAAACTTAAGCGGATATACGGACAACAGAAGAAGAGTACTGGACGGGAACTCCATGTTTTTCCTTTCCACCAAAGAGTAACCCAAACGACAGTACCATGCAGCAAAATTGGATTCTGAGTCCTGCCCGATTTCATCATAGATGCAACCGTGTCATCACCACCAACCTCTGGAACTATTCTACAAGTAAACAGCGAATTGGGCAAACTGCACAACGCTTACAAGAATTGTTGGATGGATTGGCGATAACCTCCACATGGGACAGTTTTCCAAGCCACCTAAGTTTCAAGGCCAGATACCTAAATAGTAAGCTGGGACGAAGGCTCATAGAATCAATCAGTACCATGTATTGCGAGTGAAGAAGAAGAGATTCTCCAGGATGTTAAACCAAGCCAACACTTTTATATTGTGCCACTTCTACAACATCAGCCAAACCACTTCTCCACGGGTCCTTTCAGAGAGATATCCTGAAGTGAGGTCATTCCCTTTTAGCTGTTTTACCACCCCTAGATTGCCCAGATAAATGATGAGCATGCATCATACTTCATCGTGTTAAAATTTATCAATCAATGGTTGGATCTTTCATGAGTTCTCCTCCCGCAGTATACCTGTGTCATTTACTTTGAAATGAAGATTGTATTAGCAGCTTAGCAAACATTTCTCTTTTCATATACAGTAGTATCTAACAACCATGAAAAAAAGATATAGAGCAAAGATAATTCTGAATTCATTTATGAATCAGTAAGTGGAACAATAGATGGATCTGAAACCAAATACAGTCAAATCGCCAAACACCAAACAGGAATGAGAATTCTCAAGCATGTCTGAATTCCATATAGGATGGTAACCAGAGAAAAAATAGAAAAAATCTTACTTGGTGTATTTGCAACAATAGTGCAACATTTTATCAACATCTCCTTCATTCACATAGCATCCCTCCATAGAAAGGGCTCCCTTCATGTGGTCGTCGAGGGTTTTCCATCGACTTAAAATTTCAACAATTCCGTTTAGCTATTCAACAATGAAAGAAAACAGAGAATTCGGAAGCTAACATATAAATCAATCAATTATGATCCAATTCCAAACTAGGTGGTGTCCGCTATGGGAATCCTCCATATCCGGTGCGCTTACATTCCATTCCAACAGTACCAGAAGGTAACATCAGTTTAGAAAAAGAAATGCGGACACTAGTGAGGAAAATTCTTTTATCTTCAACAAAAAAATAAAAAAATACTTCTGAATATATGTGAAAAGGATACAGCAAATGTTCTTGCTGTTAATTTGGTGGAACTTCTATGGTCTTCGCTGGAATCATCAACATTGTAGATAAGAAGTTCATCCTCAACCACCTCTGACTTGCTTGTGAGAACTGAGACATGCTGGTGCAGATTTGACGGATCAGTTTTTTGAATTCGCACCAGCAACCTTGCAAGAATGCTCCAAATTGCACTCCGTGCTTCAATATCATCAGAAGCAAAAGGAAACACACCAAGTAGACCCTGTAAGAAAAGTGTGTCTGAAAAGATCCAAGTGTCATTACTGATTCGATAAATTGAAATAAACTAAGGCCAAAAAATTCAGGCTAGCATATGTTGGTGTAATTATGAACTCACCCTGTGATATCTCTAAAGCCAGATCAGTTGCATCAGTCAGAATATTTGCTGTCAAAACTGAAGCAGTAACACAAGAGTTGGCAAACTGCAGGCAATGCATATATTAGGAAATAGCCTCTGCTTAAGGACTCAAATATTGCAGTAATATTTCTGCACTACCTTATTCTTCTTCTTTTTGGGGGATAAAGTTCTATGCAGCCTACTTTATTGTTTACTTCCACATTTTGTTCTCTCAAGTTGTTTGATAGATGCATAATAAGGGAAACTGTGCTTTCACTGATCTTTGGCTCAATTTGAGATACGTAAGGATAAAAATGAGAAGGTTCTGCAAGCTGTTAACAGCATACCTCAGCTTTATCTGGATGCTTGATCAATTGAACAAGTAGTTGGAAGAGTTCCTTGTTTGAGCAGATTTCTTGTGAATAATCATCAATGACTGAAAGCGCTTCAACAGTCTGGAGAATCGAATCTAGAATGGAATACCTGATGTAGCACATAGCCACTATATCAGTTGATCAGTGAACTGCAACCACAGAGGTTCACCACAATGATAATTGAAAGGAAAGCCTCATGCATGGGCATGAGGGGGGAAGGAGGATGACTGCAAAAATGATGAGCTGTAATCTGTTTCTATGTTATATAATTCCCAATTCTTGCACAGAGAAAACCTAGTAATGTGAACTCCAAAAAGTAGAAAATCTATTCACCACACACGATACGAATAATGTTTAACATAGAAAAATATTAAAGAGAAGTACAACATGCCAAGGAATAAAGTCCTGAAGAATTGTGGCACAATAATCAGCAATCATATTAGCAGAAAAAAAAATTAGCAGTGAATGGAGAATAAATTAAACTACTCCTAGAAAAGGCCATCCCAAGATAAGAAAAGACCAGACCTTTCAGGTGATCTTTCTTCAGGGGTTAACTTGCTTATCTCAACAGATAGGAGATCAACCAGACTCCGTGGGAGACCTAATTTTATCAGCGGTGGTAGCAGTATTGCAACCACATCCTGCTTACTTTCTGCTATTGCTAAGAGAAGATTAATGCTCTGTAGACATGAAAAAATTACATCAGATGCAAATACTGAGCAATAGCAGAATAGAAAGCAGCACAAAGGCCATTAAAAAGAATAATAGGAGAACATTTCAGAAGGACAAAAGATGGTATTAGATCTCTTTCAACAAAATTAACAGATTAGGAACTTAATGACTTTATCTATCGGACAGATACTATTTCCAGATACCATCCTCGAATTGCATTTGATTCAAAGACAGTTGCTATGCCACTAACCATAAAATAATTTATATTACAAAAAGAAATTCAACCCTTTCGCAACTCCTAGAGAAGTTATTGGTAGAAGTATTTGGAAGTGTGTCATCTATGAATCAGTGATGGTAAAAAAAAATGATGATGGTGACACCAATAACAGTGAGTATGCTACTTTAGCATCAAGTTTGTCTTTGGAAGGAGACATTTATTTGATATAGGGTGAAAGTCAGAGAAATACAAACAAACGCCATATATACTCATCCAATAAGGAACATATATACCACTTTTTAAATTGCAAGACCCAGATTCAAGAAAGTCAGAAGCAAGCTAGAGAGACAATACTGAAAAATGAAAAGCTACATGGAAAATTGAAGTGAGTCATTGCTACCTTCTCAAGAAGCTGAATGTTCAAAGTGTTCTCTACAATCCATAAAATACGACATAAAATATGTTCAGGTTGCAGTGCTTCTGCCAAAAAACCACTTTCGTTGCTTGGAAGAAATAAAGTTATCAGCCTGTAGGCAATGCCAACTATAAGAAAATTTGATCGAGATAAAGCAAAGGCTACAGGAAACTATGATGCATCTTATCACATGTTCTTAGAATAGAAAACAAACTCCCATACATTACTATACTGAACTGGGATCATCAAGTCAACGGTAGAGGACTTTCACAGTGACATAATGTGGGTTGCAATTTTATAAAAAAGTAATACTTAACAGTAACAAACATAACGATGATTCCAGATTAACAGTAACAAGCATAAGAATGATATCCTCCATGATAGCATTGTAATATAAATATTACTACCATTTATATTGCCCCCAATTCCCCAATCCCCCAAAAGAAGGTTGAAAGAAAAAACAGTGTGGGCTAAGTTATACTCCCTCAGTAAAGTTACTGATATTAGCAACAAGATAAAAAATATCAGGGCAGAATCAGTAACTAAATTCTGTCATAAAATAATATTATACCGGCATGCTTCACAGAGACATGCTGTGTCATCTAGAAACAATTGTTGCAGTACTGCTCCAATCAGACCATCTGTAGTAGTGATTTTTTTCCGTGAGACATCATGGCAAGCTAGGTTCCCAATAATACCAAGGTTAATTTCCTGTTTACATGTAATGACTTCATCAAACCATCTCTCAAGTTGAGTCATCAGAATACCTAAATATAATGAAGTAAACCTCCAAAAAGAAGGATCCAACAGAAGAATAAAGGAAGACTTACAGTAATCCGAACAGATTTTGAGACCATCAGAGTCGCCAAAAGCACTTCAAGAGCAAAGTTTTCAACCTGCACATAGAACTTAATCATCCCTCTAAAGACTTGAGTAGTGAACATGTGCATATGGAAGGCTATCTTCCCAATAAGCATATTCAACCCCCCTGACCCTTGATCCTCTTTTTCTTTGGATAAGTTTATAGAGCTTTGATCATCCAAATGGGAAGTTACTTTCCTAAGCTGTTGGAAGCTCTTCTCTAATTTGTATATACAGCAGGGTACACCAAGCACCAACCATCTGAAACGGAAAAATTGGATGCCAGTATCTACAGAAGAAACCTCGTCTTCTTTCCTGAAAATATTCTCAATGACACAAGAATTCCAGTGTCTACGCCTAGGCCTAAGTCTCTTCAGACAGAATAAATGCTTCTTAACCAGAGCTTCAACTAAGAAACTGGAAGGCCTCTTTTGCAAAGCCTTCAAAATGCCCCTGATTGTATAAAAAATTCTTATCACAACTATTAAAAATACACAAGGAACCTCATCTTCTTTCCTGAAAATATTCTCAATGACATAAGAATTCCAGTGTCTACGCCTAGGCCTAAGTCTCTTCAGAATAAATGCTTCTTTACCAGAGCTTCAACTAAGAAATTGGAAGGCCTCTTTAGCAAAATCTTCAAAATGCCCCTGATTGTATAAAAAATTCTTATCATAACTATATAAAAAAAATACACAAGAAACCTCCTCTTCTTTCCTGAAAATATTCTCAATGACATAAGAATTCCAATGTCTACGCCTAGGCCTAAGTCTCTTCAGAATAAATGCTTCTTAACCAGAGCTTCAACTAAGAAATTGGAAGGCCTCTTTTGCAAAGCCTTCAAATTGCCCCTGATTGTATAAAATACTCTTATCATAACTATAAAAAATACAGAAAACTTCTGCTTTTATTCTTAGGTAAATATCAAAAACAGAAAAGAATGGGTGAAACAACCCACTCTTCCTCCAGCCAACCGAAAAAGATCAAGTTCCTAGACAAGTAGAAGTTCTAAATACCATGAATTCAGCGTGAGTTTTACTAGCTGCTAGATCCCATAAAATACAGCCAAACTCTTCCCAAGCCTCTTCTCCTACTGCCACATCCTCACGCTCATTTTGACAATAGAACTTGTCATCTACTGATTGTTTGACAAAAGTTTCAACATTCTTCATATTTTCAGACTCATCAATAGACCAACTCTGGCCTTCTTCATTCTCAGGTGGAGAAGATGTGGTTATCTTGCTTCTCTCTCCATGCTTCACATTTTTTTCTGGTAGGAGCTTCCGGATCAAAGATATTATATAAGCAGGATCAACTGTGGTTGTTATATCAAATAGCTGCAGAATAAATCATAATGCCTTGAGAGAAGAAGCCAAACAAATTGAAAAAAGAATCTAAAAAACAAATGCAGGCATAATCTATCAAAATCTTTTGAGCAAGAAGTAACAAGTTTCTGACATAAAATATAAAGAAAAAATAAGAACACGCAAGTAATAAGTAGCAGTCTTCTATTTATGTGATGCACAAGCATTGCTAAACCAGCAGTCAGAAAGACTCAACATGCAATATTGGTCAATCTTCCACTTGTCAATGTTAAGCATGAGTAAGAGAAGTTTCAAATGGGTTACAGTTAGTGCCTCTGTATTTGGAGCTTCTTACAACCAACCAGATATTCCTGGATTCCAATAATTTATCGAAAAGGCCAATTTTGTATATATAGTCGTTAAGCTTTTAGCTGATGTACCAACCAAAAAAACCTTCACTTAACCACATAGTTCTTTGTTGTTGCCCTAGTAGTGCAAGTAACAAAGATGAAACATTCTCTTTGTGCAGTTTTCCTTTCTCACTACACTAATGCAAGGATTGTTGTCAGTCTAGAAGTATCTATCTTTGAAAAAAAAAGTTGATTAGCATTAGGGGCCAAAAGTCTAATAAGGTCGTCATCAACATAATATGAGTCAAAATTGGTAAAACATAGACAAATTTTGATGAATTTCCCTTCATTTCAAAGACATAATCCAGCAAAAGTGCAATAATTTTTCCTCACAAAGGCGAACAGGGTCAAGTAATATCTTTTTTTTTTATAACCGAGAAATCCGTCTGTGACCCGCCCTTAGGACCAATCACAGCCTTCTACACTCGGTGGATAATGGCCCCCCCCTCTACCCTTCTCCACTTAAATACCGGGCTTCTCTTTGCGTGGTGTGGGGCCTGAACCTGTGACTTAAGCCACAAATCCTCCACCTTTTTCCACTCGAGCTAAGCCTTGGGGGCAACCGGGTCAAGTAATATGAAACGGAGGAAGTGTTAAATTATAGAAGAAAACAATGAGTCCTTTGTCAATCCAGCAAAAGTGGAATCATTTTTCCTCACAATATATCAGCTTCTAGATATGGAGTTAGCAGGAATTGAGTACGCGGATGACATCATTTCAAGCAGATTCATTACATGATGCATTAGCTATTGCATAGAAAAATAAATAAAGTAAATAAATTGCAACAAACGCAAGTCTCCCACGAGTATTAACCAATAGAACCCTAATTAATTCAAATCTCAGACTATTTCTTGAATTTCAGAGAGAGAATTGGAACTTTCTGGAATCTTATTATTCAGTTACAACTGAAAATGAAAATGAAGAACTTCTACTTATATACATCATGCTTTTGTAACAACCTAACAGACTTAACAGAAAAAGAATTAAAGCTACTAATGGTATTTCATAATTAACTAACTATCTAATCGGTCACTATCTTCAATATTCCCCCTCAAGCTAGATGTACTGAAAACATTCAGAACACCTAGCTTGGCAAGCAAAAAATCATGTTGAGACCTGCCTAGAGCCTTAGTTAACAAATCAGCTTGTTGTTCTTTGGTGTTGATATAACTTGTATTAATTAGACCTTGTTGAATCCTTTCACGTATAAAGTGGCAATCTATCTCGATGTGTTTTGTCCGTTCATGAAACACAGGATTTGCTGCTATTTGTATAGCCGCCTTGCTGTCGCAATGAATGGTAACAGGATTATCTACATTCAACCCCAGTTCCTTGAACAAATTAGTTACCCATACTACTTCAGCTGTTAATGTTGCTAAACTCCTGTACTCTGCCTCTGCTGAGCTCCTGGAAACAGTGTTCTGCTTCTTGGATTTCCAAGATATCAATGAATTCCCATACTTCAATAAGTATCCAGTAATAGATCTCCTGGTATTGGGGCACGCAGCCCAATCTGCATCACAGAAGCCAGTGAGCAGCAACTTTTTTCTTGCACTCATAAGCAAACCTAAACCTGGTGCAGCCTTGATATATCTAACCACTCTCAAGGCTGCATTCCAGTGAGACACCTTAGGTTTCTGCATGAATTGACTTAGACATTGAACTGAGAAGGCTATGTCAGGCCTAGTATTGGTTAGATAGAGCAACTTCCCAATCATTCTCTGATATCTGGTTATATCCGCAAACAATTCATCAGTATCATCTTGAATGAAATCTGCATTTGTTAGCTTTACATTGCACTCTAATGGTGTTGAAGAAGGCCTTGCCCCTGTTAGTCCAGCATCAGAAATTAACTCCAATGCGTATTTTCTTTGATTCATGACAATTCCTTGTGTTGATCTGCAAAACTCAATGCCGAGGAAATATTTCAGTTCTCCCAAATCCTTAATCTTGAAATGGTGATGTAGAATTTGCTTAGTTTCTTGTATCAGCTTATAATCATTCCCTGTAATCAATAAGTCATCTACATATACAAGTATAATGACCAAAGTTGAACCCTTCCTTTTAGTGAATAGGGAATGATCCAGTTGACTTTGTATATATCCTGAGTTTGTCAATGCATCTGTTAACTTGGCATTCCATTGCCTGGAAGCCTGCTTAAGACCATATAAAGATTTGATAAGTCTACAAACTCGATGCTCCCCCTTTCTAGTAAAGCCCTTAGGCAATTCCATGTACACTTCTTCCACCAAGTCACCTTGCAAAAAAGCATTAAACACATCCATTTGGTATATCATCCAATTTTCAGCTGCTGCAATAGCAATTATAGATCTCACAGTGACCATCTTCACTACAGGTGAAAATGTTTCGTGGTAATCAATTCCTTCTGTTTGGCTGTATCCTTTAGCTACAAGCCTAGCTTTAAACCTGTCAACTTGACCATTAGCTTTGTATTTAATTTTGAACACCCACTTACAACCTATTGCACTCTTTCCTGATGGCAGTGGCATGACATTCCAAGTTCCGTTATCCTCTAATGCACGGATTTCCTGCTTCATGGCTTCCACCCATCGAGGATCTTTAACAGCCTCTTCATATGTTCGTGGTTCTGTATCAACTGATATAGCACTCAAATATGTTTGATACGTAGGAGACAACTTCCTATATGTCATATAGGTAGCCAGTGAGTGTGGTATAGAATCTGTCACAGTTGCAGCATAATCCTTCATCCACAATGGAGGATGAGACACCCTGGTGGAAGTTCTATGTGGTACAACATGTTGAACACCTTGTTCATCTTGGTCCCTAACCAAAACATCCACATCATCAACTTCAGGATCCACCAATGGAGCAGGTTCTACCAATGGAACAGGTTCAGTCATCATTAAATCATGTTCTGACTCAGCTTGCTGTGTGGTGTTTTCTACAGCATGATCAGCATGCCCATGAATATGAGTGTCATGTAGCGTAGTATCATCGACAAACAGCTCATGGCCGGTAAAAATTGGTATATGCTCATCCTGCTGCACTTTGTTAAATGGAAAGACATTCTCTTTGAAAACAACATCTCTGCTCACTATAAACCTTTTCAAACTCAAGCTATACAACAAATACCCCTTCTGAGTAGGTGAATAACCCATCATGACACAAGTATAAGCTCTAGGAGAAAACTTGTCATCCTTGATTAACTTAGTTGCATAGCACAAGCAACCTATTGTCCTCAGATGATCAAGTTTAGGTTTGGTCCCGTGGAAAATTTGGTAAGGGGACTGCCCTTTCAAAACATCAGTAGGCATCCTGTTTATAAGGTACACAGCAGCTATTACACATTCACCCCAAAACCTTATGGGAATGGAACCTTGAAACCTAAGAGCCCTTGCTACTTCAAGTATGTGTCTATGTTTTCGTTCCACCACTCCATTTTGTTGTGGGGTGTGTGGACAACTACTCTCATGAATAATCCCTAAAGATGAGAATAAAGTGTTGCAATCTTTGTTAAAAAACTCAGTTCCATTGTCAGATCTTATTCGTTTCACCTGCTTGTTAAACTGATTACCAACCAGTGCAAGAAAAGATTTTAATACAGCAAAAACATCACTTTTGAATTTCAGTAAAAACAACCAAGTCATCCTTGACTTATCATCTACAACAGTCAAGAAGAATCTGAACCCCTCATGTGTAGCAAATTTATATGGCCCCCATACATCTAGATGAATAAGATCAAATATATCATTTGTAGTAGACAAACTAAGTGGAAATGGAAGTCTCGTCTGTTTTGCCAAAGGGCAGACTGAACAATTGTCACAAACTTTTACATCAAAGTTTTTTTCTACTAGAGATAATTGTTTCAACACCTTGATAGAGGGATGGCCCATCCTGTTATGCCACAGCATGCAACCTGTATCTCCTGCCTGTGTCATCAGTACTTTGCTATCATCACTAGCTGAATTTTCACGAAACTGATTTGAGAAGTAATACAGACCTTCTATCTCCTTACCAATCCCCTTCACCTCTCCATTGAAGAGGTCCTGAAAAACACAGAATTCAGGAAAGAAACATACAGAACATTGCAGCTGCCTAGTCATTTGAGATACTGATAATAGGTCATATTTAAAATCAGGCACCACCAATACATTGTCTAACTTTCCACAGCTTCCTGAATGTGTGACTAAAGTAATTTGACCATTAGGCAAATGTACTCCTCTACCTACATTCTTATTAAAGTCATCGACATTATCCAAACTAGCAAGAGTTGAAGTCATATGACATGTCGCCCCTGAGTCAATTATCCAATTAATTCCACTTTTAAATGCATTCGGCTCATTCTTAGAACTAGCACTCATGACTGCTACGCAATCTTCATTTTGTGGTAATAAAGAACAAACTGTTACATTATGGAAGTTACCTGCCATATTGGCTATCTCTCTAGGCTTCTCATCCTCATTCAACAACTTCATTATCTTTTGATATTGACTGGGAGTGTAATCAGACCTTGCAGCAAAGGCCTGCAAATTAGCATGAATTGAATTGAAATCATGAGAACTACCTTGTGCATACGTTTGTCCTGCATTGACTGCCCCAAAGACATCACTTCCTAAGTCTTCATCAACCTTCTCCAATTGTACATTATTGGCAACATTCTTCCCTTTGCCTGAATTCATTCCTCTAGCTGGATTAGTGTAGCTCTGTTCTCCACCCTGTTCTGACACTTTCTTTTTGAATTTCCAATCAGGATATCCAATCAGCTTAAAGCAATTTTTCTGAGTATGACCATATATTTTACAATGATCACAAAACAGATTCCAATTTACTTTTTTCTTTGTTCTCCCATTGTACTCACCCTTGCCACCATCATATCGTGTGTCTTTAGAATAATTTCCTCTTCCTGCATATAATGCAGCAGCTTCTATCACATCTCCAGCTGTACGCATACCTGAGGTAACTCGTTGACTTTCGTCTGAGATTATCATGGCATAAGCCTTGCCAACACTTGGCAAAGGGTTCATCATCAAGATTTGGCTGCGTGCGTGCCCATACATTTCATTCAAACCCATCAAAAAAGCAAACAGACGCAAATACTGAATGTGATCCACATAAACTCTAGATCCATCACAATTACATGAAGGCGGGGGCACAATTGCATCAAATTCATCCCACATCAATCGCAATTTGGTAAAATATGCTGAAACAGTTGAATTACCTTGGTGAATTGTGCAAATTTCCCTGTGCAATTGATAGATTCTTGATCCATCGATTTTGTCAAATCTCTCTTTTAGATCTACCCATACCATTGCAGCATCCGATGCGTAAACGATCCCACTCAGCAACTCCTTCGACACTGTGTTCATTATCCAAGCGAGAACAAACGCGTTGCATTTCTCCCATTGCTCTGCTAGCTCTAAGGTATAATCGTTTCTCTTACAGGTTCCAAGGACAAAGCCCAGCTTACTCTTCGCCCTCAGGTTGATTAACATAGATCTACTCCAGAGTGAGTAATTCTCAGCTCCGGTAAGTTGAACTGTGGTCAAGATACTACCAGGAGTATCTGACGGATGAAGATAAAGAGGATGATTCCTCTTCGACTCAACTATCGCAAGTGTTTCCGGTACTTCGATCGCAACTGCCGATTCCTCAGTCGAAGCAGGCATTGTTGCATCAATGGATGAACTCCAGAATCGAATCGTCAAATTGAATCAAACAATTGTTGATTCACCGCTCTGATACCATCTTGAATTTCAGAGAGAGAATTGGAACTTTCTGGAATCTTATTATTCAGTTACAACTGAAAATGAAAATGAAGAACTTCTACTTATATACATCATGCTTTTGTAACAACCTAACAGACTTAACAGAAAAAGAATTAAAGCTACTAATGGTATTTCATAATTAACTAACTATCTAATCGGTCACTATCTTCAATACTATTCAAAGACACAGTATTAACATGAATTGGTATATTTCTGGGTGATGAATACATTTTCATGGATTACCTCACCGGAAGGAGCAGGAGGGTGATGAGTACTGCTCTGAAATTCTTGTTCCGGTGCTTCTTCGTTATGTTCAGAGGGAGATTCCGGTGGAATTGACATGCCGTAGCTAGTAGAGACTATAAGCTAGGGTTTTCGCGCTCTTTTATCCTTCTTTTTCCCTTTTGAATGGCTGAATTGAGGAAAGACAGCTTATATAGTACCTGATAGAGTATTGCATTTTTACATTTGATTATACAGTGGTTAATTACGTATTGTTTTTTGGGATCAAGATATAGAGTAGACTAACCATTTCCCTTATTCAAATACTATATAATTCCAATCCAATCTCACATATATATAATTTTTTATAATTGTGATGTTCAAACCAGCTTGCATGCACAGATAAAAAGAATTTAACTAGTATTTTATCTTTACTAAAATTGAACATAAAGACTTCTTGATGTCCAACCTACTTCATTGACCACAAGAGCACACCTTTGGGTGTCTATCTCATACAGTATAATTACTTATCCGAACGTTTTTAGATTTATTAGATTTTCATATGAAGCAAATTTTCTTACCCTCAATGGTTGCGTTGAAAATGACTATAATTATGCGCCTTACTTTTAATGCGTAATTTTCATTTACATTTCGCATTAAGAAATTGCTTGAATTGGCCGTCAATACAAGGACAAATGGATCGGTGATTCACTATTCAAAAGACAACATTAGTAATCAGTATTCATATATGGACTGATAATGATCTCAGGGGCGGAGCTATTACGTGTCCACCTTCATCGGAAAAAAATGTCATAAATACAAGTAAAATAATATACAAAGTGATTAAATAACATATTTTGGACACCTTTGAGTTTGACATAACAGGTTGTTGTAGCCTAGTGCTGTCAGGCAACTCAAATGAGCTAGTACTCACGTCTTCGAATTTGACTAGCAATAATTGTGCCTGGAGACCCTTCATGAAATTCCTGGCACTACCACGGATTATGATCCATTAAATCACCATTTAAAAGGCAACATGATTCATAGAACCTACCTCAACAATTTTAGTATTGAGGTTCAATTGATTGATGATAGAGTTGTTCCACCGACAACCTCGTAAATATACATTGAATAGATCTTCTTTTTGTTGTTGTTTCAGCTTTGTCCAATGTACTCCTATAATATTGTTAGTTAAGAGCCAAGGGAAATACTGTATCCAATTGGCGATTCCCAGTTAAGCCATTTGAGATTTAGGTTTCCATTTGGCTATGAGTAGATGGCTCTGCAGCATAATTTATAGCTAGCGCCATCATGTGTTTTGTGGGACTTGGCATATACTCTTGTAATTTGTTACAGTAACATGAATTCGGTATTCATTTTCATTTCATCCATAAGCTAGATCCTATGATTTGCTAGGAGCAAAAGAAAAGACAGTTGCTGCAGAAACCGCATGGGCAGTAAGTTTATACCGCGGCTGACAACAATATTGCAAGTGTAATCCTACAAAGTGAGGCATGTAGAGGTTGAGAGTATACACTGATGTAACCTTACATTAGAGGTAGAGAGTGGTTTCCAATAGACATTCAGCTCAAGGAAAACAATTCAAAGCAGTTTGGAAGAAGAAATAATGACAGTGAAGGAGCCAAGTCAAAACATTATAGAAAACATGACAAAACATTCTAAACAGTAAGTTAAACAAAATAAGAGATAAACAAAGTACAAGAAACAACAATAAATAGTTGAAGCGAAGCATAAGATACTTTATTGTTATGTAATGTAGCAATTAGCATCCAACCATAGGTCACTAGATTTTGACATCAAAGATTTTAATGTGTTCTTTCACTTGCATCATCAAAGGAAAGCCAAAATAATAAGAATCCAATCGAAGGGTGGCTCATAAATTGTCCACCAAAAGTTATACAACCAAAAGAATCTGTTTCACTCACCAAACCAACACCAACGTGCTGCTTCGGTACATGTTTAAACCTGCCTGCTCCCCTAATGTTAGAGAAAGAAATTCTATCAGTCAGGGCCCAGCCTAGCTAATGGATAGTTATTAGTATTTGCTTAATTCAACTCACAGTTCATGTAAGGATGTACGATTCTACCCACAGTGAAGCAAAGGAGTCATTCCTTCAATTTCCAAATGCTCACAGCACTGCATTCACCTGAAACAAAGCTGTCAATTGCAGGCGAACAGTATCAACTGTTTTTTTTTCTTTTTCCCTGTTTGATAAATTAGAACTGCAGTAGCACTAATGAACACCACATGAACGTAGGATCAGGAGAAACAGGGACAGAAATGTAACATCACATGGATGGTAGGACAACTAAAATACAAAGATTTAAGACTAGTAAGTTCTCAAAGAAGCCAAGAGTGAGTACATGATGTTCAACTTAAAGTACAATTTCCAGATAACAAAGAGAGCAAACGAGCTGCAGTTTGCCCAGTTACTCTGACACACTGTAGTAAAATGCTTCAACCAATGACACAATGCCGCTGAAGATTATCACCTTAAGAGATTGAAGAGGGGCAAATAAAATTGGCATAAAAGAAATAAAACTAATCATGGTCCATTTTCTAACTTTGATAAGGGATCAAAATTTAAATGAAAATGTTAAGTAGCGCAACCTGGACCAGTCAACTATGTCTTCTTAGCAAGATTTGAAGATTGAGAAGCTTTGACTGGGCCTGGAGCCCCATCAATTGCAATATTACCCACTCTAACTTCCATTGCCTCCCTTTCATCCTTCTCTCGGTTGTTCTTCGGACCATGGTTTTCAGTTGCTTCAGATAGAGAATTAGTCGAAGAAGTAAGATGTCGAGGGCCTCCAGTAATCCATGGATGACTAAGACATTGAGCTGCTGTCGGTCTTTTCTCAGGCACAAAGTCGAGCATAGGTATAAGGAAATCTGCCATCTCATTCGCATCTTGTTCGCATAAATCATACTTTTCCATGAGCACTTTACTGAGAGTCCAGAACCGCAAGCGCCTGATGTGCCTCAGTTCTCCATTTCGGTTAAAAAATTCTCTTGAATGGCGTCCACCTAAGGCAATCTGCAGGAATATTGATAATTAGATATATTGCGGGGTTATTTCAATCAGAATCAGCCTTTGGTTGCTTCTTGCCAGACATAGAAACACACCTTGCGTGGCATCGTCCCCAGAAGCTCCATCATGAGGGCCAAGTGATCCTGTCAACACCATTTAAGTGAACAATTAAGTAGGTGTTCGGACATTAAAAATGTGATATTTGAAAGAAAAAATGGAAAAAGTTATTTGGAAATTAAATTGTGTTTAGACATGCGTTTAACTTGAAAAAAAAAGAAGTAAATGTTATGCAAGTACAAACAACATCATTTACAAAACTGGTCAAAACCACTTTTTCAACCTTGAAACTCATCTCCAAATTTACTTTTAAAAAATCAGTCCAATGTATGATCAAAGACCTATTTGATTTATTTTTTAAAAAAAAGGAAAAAAATACATGTCCAAAATGAACCCTTAAATGAAGCATTAAAAACTAAAGAATTATTTAAAAAGTTTCTACAATGAAATCAGACGGAAGTTAATCTACCAATAAAGATAACATGGCATTAGAACATTGAATAGAAGCAAGCAATCTAGTATAGAATAGGGTCACACGAAAAGAAAACATGTTTATCAGAAAGACTTGGCAAGCTAGGGCCACTAAAAAGAATTCTTGCTTTCACTGAAAGTGAGTCAGATTTTTATAAGCAAGCTACAATGACGAACAATAAATTTTAGCAAAACCATTAAAGAGTAACAATAAATAATAGTCCCAAGTGACAAACAATTTGAGCATCCATGCAAAAACTGAAGGCAATGGATGGAGTGACCGAAGAAATTATTAACTCCCTTAGATCTTTAACAATGAGGATGGTGGTATGCCCCTAGCATCCACCCCACGCATGTAACATGGTTCTAAAGTTTATTTGATCATCTTTGAAGACTTAAATCTTTTATGGGGTTCCCACGACATTTTGTTTGCTAGGTTAAGTCAATATCTAAGAGATGCTATTGGAAATGTATAAAGACCTAAACTAGTTAATGGGACCCAAAAATCTAGCTGTTTGAGCGATCTTCGCTCTTTCTTCCTATACAATGGACAGCAAAAAACATTTTCATAGCTATCAATGCAAGAAGTACAGAACCTCAATCTTTTAGTTATAAAAGACATATGTCAAAAGGTGGGGGATGTGGACTCAGCCTATCTGAACATTTTTTAATCATAACAAGAAATCCTGCATGCTACTGAAACAAAGTGGGTGTGTAACATTTCTTCAATGAAGCAACATGTTTTTAGTTCCAAGATTCATCATTTTCTCACTTTGAATCTTGTTGGTGAACTTAAGGAATTGCCTAGAGTGTGCTTGCTTCTTTTACCTCACCAAAACCACAACACTGCTGACATAAGTTTCAAGAATCATCAAGCAAAAATAAAGCACTTTTGATATACCAATAGGCTTCCATGACATTAGAGTCCATCAAATTGGCACATCATGCTCATAACATACACATAATAATTAGCTTAAGCCACAAATAGATTTAAACACTAACCAAAGTCCTACCAAAGAAAATTGTTTGTGCATGTCAGAATGGAAATGGTGAAATGATCAAAAGTAAAGTTGTTGTACCTCATCTCTGTCATAATTGTCACCACTGTGAGGATCAAAAAGAACATCACCTGTGGTGAGCTCAAAACAAATGCAAGCAAGGGACCAAAGATCTGCTGAAGTAGAATACTTAGCGCCCAGTATAACCTCCGGACATCTATACTGTCTTGTCTGGATATCACTTGTAAATTGTTTATACGTCCAACATGCATTACCAAAGTCAACTAATTTGCACTTAAGGTCAACATCAGCCAATAGCTTCTGCCTATCAGACCGGCTGCCTCGTTTATGTCTCTGAATTCTTTGGCGCCCTTCCTTTGTTGAGACATCTCCACTGGCTTCAATACTAGTTTGTTCCTCAACTGAGTTCGCTTCAGGTTTTTCATCACAAGTAGAGTCTTCAGGACCAATAGTTTCATTATGTGGTTCAGTCTCCTCAGAAGCTTCCTTGTCGGCACACTTTTGAGCTACCCGCTTAGCCTTTTTTCGAATTTTCTTTTTCTGGTTCTTGGTCAGGTCACCATTTAAACTCTTCACAGCTTTAGAATCCCCAGATTCAGAGAGAATCTTACTTTTATTGGAAGGAAGAATGACAGGAGTCCCTGACTTTGTAGGATCTTTAGCTGGATCAATCATTGATAGAAGCAACACATTTTCTGGCTTTAAGTCTGTGTGTATGATGGAAAGTTTGCGATGTAAATAATCCAAACCCACCAAAACATGAAAGCATATTTCTTTAACTTTGTGGATAGGGAGCCCTCGGTAGTCTGAATACTTGATAAGTGTCAAAAGATTATCTCCCAAGTATTCAAATACCATACAAACATGCTGCCCATTAAGACCAGAATGCTTAAAGTGATCCAATAGCTTCACAACACACTTCTTATCATCTGGATCTCCCTCAGCAACCTGCTTTAATATTGCAATCTCATCCATTGCCGCTTCAGTATAATGCTGAGCACTCTTTTGAACTTTCAGAGCTACATATGTCTATTTCCGCACAAAAACATAAGCAGCAATTAGCTGAACAATCCATAAGCCTGACAAGTTAACAAAATTTAAGCATCTTTTCTCACGACCATACTCTAAAACTCACTATCTACCACTAGTTCACAGATGCAGAGTACGGAGGATGAAATTGCATCCTCTGAAAATTAGAATCAAAGCGAATGAGGGGAGCATCTTATTTGCACATGAATGTCCTCAAGATCCCATTTTCAAGAAAAGAGTAAAGCTATATAATGCAGGATTACAATAACAAAAATTAAGTTGGGACTAGCTATATAAATCCTCTAAATCCATTCCGCTCCATCTGAACCTATTTCCTTCCCGTAATCAGCATTTTTATCTTTTAAAACAAATAAGTAGCTCTCCAGAACTATAGATTCTCTAGCGACACACTTGTCAGTTGTCATTACACTGAAATATACATCTCTAAGTAAACTAAAAGAAGACTTTCGGCAATCACCAAAATGTGTAAAAGACCAAAAAATAAATCACGATAAGCAGAATTTACAAAGAAACCAGAAACGAGCTAAACAGGATTTACTGATAAATTATGAGTAATTAGAAGAACATAGAATAAAACTAACAGATTTTTGGATGTCCCAAGCGAGCCAAACAGTTGAGAAATGGCCCCAACCGAGCTTGCTCTGCACAACGTATCGTCCGAGTTTGAATGTATCTCCGATTCGTACAGCGTGGTATCCTCCGCGCTTGTAGTCTTCCGTTCCTTCGTCCTCCGATGTGTAGTCACTCGTCTCACTTCCATCGCCGCCGTTCCTCTCCTCTTCTTCGGCCATCGACCGATCCAATATCACAGAGATCGAACACACAAATACTGGAGCGGATGTCAGTGATAATGGAAGAAAATCAACCCACTGTGAGAGAAGAGAAGGCCCTGCAAATAAGACAGGGAGACGGGAGGGAAGATTTTTATTTTATTTTTTCAAGGAAGAAGAAGTAGGGTTTCTAATGTTATTTGAGTGGAGAGGGAAAATGACTCAAATTAGTTTTTATTTTTGTTATTCCTAGTTCATTCGTACTTCATTATTATTTTTAAAATATTTATTATAATAAAGAGAATTTTTAAAAAATATTTATTTAACATTAACTATTTATTTTTCCTCTCCAAGATGTGCACTATATACTTTTAGTTTTCCTCATCATAGTTTCATCTTTAACCATTTTGATAGTTGGTGGTTGGAGTACAGTATCAATCTAATCAACTTGTCAAAATTGAGATTGAAAGAATCGATTATTTCTAATGAGATTACTTTGTGTATTATTATTTGAAGCACACATTTTTCTGAAGAGCAGTTTTTTTTTTTTATCACTTAAAGAATTGTCTGATATGAAAGTTTCATGCATGATTTTTGAATGAGACAAAAAAGTGACGACCGTACTCATGAAATTGTTTCATTCGATAGCTTTTAATACTACTCACACACCACATACGTATATTGCATATGTATAAGTATTTCCTTTATGCATGGCTCATATTAAACAGAAAAAACGTGAAGCGAAGCTGTAGAAAGACATTTAATAATTTCTGATATTTCTCATATGAGGCTAAATTGTTATCAAAGGCAAAAGCTAAGTGGGTTCATGGGTTCGTGCAAATTCAATAATTTTTTTCGTAGATCTTGTATTTTTATTAGAAAATTAAATAAATACATATGTATATTAACCTGTGAATCCCCAATCAAACCGATTGACGGTTCAGTGGTAAGGAATAGGCCGTGTAAATGCTTTTCATGCTATTTTTCTCTTATGTCCCACAATTTAGAACCTCAAACTCCTAATTCTGATTTTGCATCTGATTGTTATGCATCATTATAAAAATTAATAATGGACACAATTGTTATGCATCATTAAAAAAGTTAATAGATGCCAAACCACAATATCTTCTTGCTACACATCCAGTTCTCTTTAATACTTCTATGCCAATTTGCCATCTTGCATAAGATTGTATGTAAATAATGTCAACTTGTTGTCACGATTCTTTTGGTAAGTCCATCTAAATTATATTTACTTTGTCATTTTTTTTCAAATGATATCTCCTGTCTTTTGCATGGGTGCATATTTTTATTTTGGTGAAAATATATTTTAAGTGAAATATATGATTGAAGAATAACAAAAATGATAATGCGTAATTGCAAAATAAATGATCCATGCATGTGATGTGCGCTGTGGAGATCTGTGTAACAAACAAACTTCAATGTAATCAAGATACTATTTCCTAGATGAATGTTTCTTTTCTACCAAACAAATACAGTTCATTTGGGGTTACGTATATATTGTATTTGTCTTATATTAGTTGATCATTATATTAAAATATTTATTTTATATTAATTGATCATTTTACTAAATCAACAAAGCATTAATTGCTGTAAAAAAATTCATTTATTACCCTTGTAATTATTTCTTTTAAAATATTCATGTTTGTTTGTAAAATTCAAAAAAAAAAAATTAAAGGATAAATTATTAAAATTACCTTCTTATTTATAATTTCGCAAGCATTGTACAAAATGAAAAGTGATCAATAATATGAAACCGAAGGAATACTAACTAATTTTTCCAATTTAGTGGACAAGTGCACAAAATACAAATACCAGGGACGCGGATATATGGAATCACATTATATTCATGATTAGTCAACCTCCAATCTTGCTATGATGGCCATCAACGAACAGGTCAAAGATAGGGGTTGACGAGCTTCTAAGATAACAAGCTTTCGAAAAAAATGGTGTGCGTACATACATTTTAGATGAATTTTATATCAAATAAAAGGGAAAAGTAAAGAACTTTATAAAGTATAACATTAATTTGTGTATTTAGACTTTGGGTTGTGACATTTTTCATATTAGGTCGTCCCAGCAACAATGTAGTGGTTAAGATGCCGTAAATTTAATGCTATATATATAAAAAAAAAAAATTGCCAAATTTTAGCGGTAGGTATAGCTATATGCATGCTTGAAAAGGAAAAATTCAACGTTAACATATTCATTAAAATTCCACAAGTATAATTTGAAGAGGATAGAGTATACGTAGACCTTATTCTTATCTCGTAGAAATAAAGAGATTATTTCGATAAACCCTCAGCTTAAATAAAACATATCAAAGCAGACAACAGTATGGAGATGAAAGTAATAACAAAACAATGAAATAAAGTGAAATAAAGAGCAATGTGTACCCATCGAAAAACAACAACGAAATAATAGGAGAACTGAACCATAAAAACTACAAGGGTTAACTAAAATCATAGAACAAGAAACTAGGAAAATAGTACTAATACTATTGATAAAGGTAGGTACGTACAAGCTAAGTACGACCACCAAGTATATTCCTCAAAATAAGCGAGCAATAGCTCAATTATCAACTAACATTTTATCTTAATTTACGACCTTCAAATCCTCCTATATTGTCATATCATCGATTAGATCAAAATATAATACACCACACCATGTCTAATCACTTGCCCCCATACTTCTTGTAATTGGTACTTTTAAAATGACTTTCAAACGTTTTTTAAATTCTCGCGTGTTATAAGATGAATTGTTTTCTATTTCATGATATATTTTTCGTCTTCCACATGAATTATGAAAAAAAGTTAAATAGAATGATGTATGAGATGAGGTGTTTACTCATATTTCTAAGCTTATCCATTGATCAAATTTGCCTAAAATTCAGGAGCGATATATACATTATAGGTAATGCTAAATGGCCAGTAAATTTAATCAGAATTTGATCAATAAAAAATCTATAATATTTTTTTTATTTTAAAATAACTGATCTTTTTTCCATTTTTTAATTAAAAGGTATTAAAGTTTAAAAAGTAAAAATATTTTAAAAGGTAAAATAACATAGATAAAATATCATTCTGACCTTTTTACCATTCTGGCCAAAAGGATTTTTTTCATATATATAAATAGAGAACTTGAAATTTCAACTAACTAACATGTGATTATCCAACTACATCCCAACAAATCCTATTATTTGCCTAGCCAGATCTCAGTATAAATTCAAACAAAATAAGGCAAGAACAATAAAATACTATGGCAATAGATTATTGAAGAGCATCTTGAAGTAGTTAGAACCGTACCAAATTCTTAATTCCCCCGGCTATAAACTTTTGTTTATGAACCATGGTATCGGAGCCAGCTTTCACGCAACTATACTTGCCACCTCCCATCAGGGACCGGTAACTCTATTACCCAAAATTAGGATAAATGAGAAGAATACCTAGTAATTTTTGTTTTCGCTAAGTTTTAAACTTGAAACCTTAGGGTCAATCTCAATCACTTTATTGATTACTAGGCTACACCCTTAAATGCTCCCGGCTATAAACTTTATTGCACCAATAATGTCAAATTATTAACAGATAAAAGAGAACTGAATAAATCTTAAATTTAGGATAACTTATTTAAGCCATGCCATATTATAAATCTTAATTAAATTTGCTAGTAGCTAGCCGACTACTCCAATAATCCTTATGTTGAATTAATTAATCACTTTATTAGCATAGTTGACTGCGCATGTTCCATAGTTAAATCACAATTAAAGTTTTAAACAATAATTAGATTAAAACCATCGTCGACCACAATGTATGTGGACATGTAATTAAAAAATCTAATGGACCGACAGAAATTATTCTCTAGAAAATAGATAATACCTTCATTTCCTCATTTTAGGCAAGCAGATTAAATGAGGTAGTACAAATCATGATAGATTATTAAGGGTGTGTTCAGTACAAAAGAAGATGATGCAATTTTTTAAAAAAAAATTTCATGTTCGATTGATGAGATAAATTAGAAAATATATAGTACAGTACTCTTTGAGCAAAGGAATTAGTTACCATGGCATAACACGTTAATTAGTTTTTCCATGAAACGTGCCATACCTGCTCGTTTTAATTATTGAATTCACAAATTAAATGATTATATATATTATATAAATTATCTACTCTAAATATGATATATAAATAAAAATTATTGAGTTCAATTAAATTCGTAGCTATTATTATGTACAGCTCTGTCCATATTAGCTTAACCATCCACTAATTAATTAGGTTGACAACAATATTCGTAACAGTACCAAGGCGCCATCCAGTATAACGTGGAACAGGACCACAGGGTCCAATTGTCAAAGAATAGGTATATAAATTTATTTTACTATTATATACGTGACAAGCTTCAACTTTACCAAATCATTAATTGATGAATTATCTCCTTAATTCAAATAATATAAAAGGACAAAGAAGTAGTTAGGGGACAGAAAAAAACAACAGTGATACAGTAAAACATAAATAGAGATGGGCTTATTTTGGGGTGTGGAGATACGAAAAAGAGAAATTTCCGTCTTTATTTTCCGTGTTTAGTATTCATATTGAAGTTCGATAAAATTTTGCATCTAGTTAAGATTTAAAAATGAAGTACTCCATATATCCACAATTACTTGTTCACTTTTTCTTTTTTAATTGTCTCTAATTACTTGTCCATTTTGACAAATCAAGAAAAGATAATAAAAATTTATCTATTATACTCTCAATTAATTACTTTGAAAAAGGTAGAATTTCTTGAAAAATCTTAAATTTTTAATTCATTTAGTTCATAATTAATAGAGATAAAATGGTAAACATTATGTCAAATCATTATTTTCTTAATAGGTATATTAATTCAAAAGTGGACAAGTAGTCATGGACCAAGGGAGGGAGTAGTATTTAACATTTCACCGCAGTCTTTGTTGTTGGTATGAATAGATATGTTAGTTACAAAAAATGAACTACGTCTGCCTGTCTTTTTTTTAAAAAAAAAAAAGTTGGCATAGAAGTTAAATTTATCTTTTTAAGCCGAAAATAACCTCTCGATCGACTCTAAGTAGTCGCACGGGTGTTCAAACAAATTAGATATTGATTCAATAGCAGTTTAGGAGTTTCAAAATTCACCATAAGGTTTCAAGTTCAGTTCGTATGT